AAACACTCCCAGGACAGGGACAGCACAGGGTTAGATACACAGTAAAGGTTCCTCTACATTGTCCCCCCCATCAAACACTCCCAGGACAGGGACAGCACAGGGTTAGAAGGAGCACTACCCTGTATCTACACTGTTCCCAAAATTCTCTCAGTTGTTAGATTTTGCTTTTTTTAAATATGCTCAAATTCTGTTACATATTTGATTCTAAGCATATTTTTATTTTTTCTCTTCTTTTTTTCTATCCTGTTCTCTCTTCCTCTCTCACCCTCTCACTCTCTCTCCTCCACTTGACTCTCTTATCATATCTGTTTCATTCCCCCACTCACTCTCTCTGGTTTGTGTTTTACTTGTCTCTCCCGTTTTGTCTCCTCTGTCTGTCTCTGTCTTGGTCTGCATCTTGATCTCTGATTGTTTTTCTCTCTACACCACTCTCTTTGTTTTGTCTCTCTGTCTCACTCTGTCTCCGTGTTTGTCTCTCTTTCTTTGTCTCTCTCTCTCCCTCTGTCATCTCTGCCTCGTCTCCAACTCTCTATCTGTCTCCACCTCTCTCTTTGTCTCTATTTTTCGCTGTCTCCATCCCCTCTGTCTCTGTCTTTCTTGCTCTGTCTCTGTTTGTCTCTGTCTGTCTCCATCTCACTCTCTCTCGGTCCCTCTCTGTCTCCATCTCCCTCTCTGTGTTCCTCCCTCTTTCTATCTGTCTCCATCTCACTCTCTCTGCCTGTTTCCATCTCCCTCTTTCTGTCTGTCTCCATCCTGTGCTCTCTGTCCCACTCTCTCACTGTCTCCATCTCCCTCTCTGTCTGTCTCCATCTCCTTCTCTCTCTGTCCCTCCCTCTCTCGCTGTGTCTGTCTCCATCACATTCTCTCTCTGTTGCTCCCTCTCTTGCTGTGTCTGTCTCCATCTCCCTCTCTCTATCCCTCTCTCTCTGTCTATCTCCATCTCTCTTTCTGTCTCCACCCACCTCTCTCTGTCCCACCGTCTCTCTGTCTCCATCCCCCTCTCTCTGTCTTTCTCCATCTCTCTGTCTCTGTCACTCTCTCTCTATCTATATCTCCCTCTCTCTCTTTCTCACTCCCCTCATGCTGGTGCTCCTCCATCTCTCTGTGCTTCTTCTACTTCTCTGTTCACTCTGTATCTCTTTCTCTTTGCCTCTCGCTTACTCCTCTCTCTCTGCCTCTCTCTCTGTCTGTCTTCCTATATCCCCCTGTCACTCTGTCTGTAGCAGGTGGAGATATTGACCAGCAGGAACCTGACCCCCTCTCCCTCAGTGCCAGACTCTCAGACGGAGGATGAGGATGAGGTGACAGACAGGCAGCAATCTATCCACGCAGCGATGGGTCATTTTTATTCACACAACGGCACCCTGAGAGCCAAACCCACTGGAAATGGAATCTACATCGCCAGAAGGGAACACTGCGTCTGAATTCCCTAGAGACTTTCCATTCAAAACAGGAGTGATTCACTTGCATTTACACGCTGTGTGTTACTGTTTCTCTGCAGGAGGTGACACTGAGACACACACAGACTGTACAGTAACAGACAGG